TATTACCTCTTTGTGGTGGTGAATCATCTGGTAACAAATTTTTAGAATACGGAGGTGACAAATACAAATAGACACCGTAGACATTACTTTTATTCGGCACATACCGATCAGCATGACCCACACGGTGGATGTAGAATGACATTATACCAAATCAAGACGATATACAACTAAATCGGTTTACAGGACACGACTACGTAGTTTATTAAAGTTAGCCACAGAAATGAGGAGATTCCACTAAGGGTCAATTAGCTTAATAACAAAAAAAAAAAATTAAAATTCACAAACTAACCAAAACTTCTAAATCTAAGGGTTGAGATTTTGCCACATGGGCTCATTTTGGTTAGTTTATGACTTATAATTTTTTTTTTATGTTTATTGAGCCAATTAACCCAAGCCCCCTTTTTTTTACGGTATTGTTTAAGGTCACTGTTGGAGAAATTGTAGCTTCATAAAATGGTCAAGATACAATGGACCAAACTTGGAATGCAATACCTCATCGTGCTTTGAGGAATTTGATTTGTTTCAAGATTATTGTGATGCATGTTTTTCTTTCTAATGTCACGTGAAGCCTACCATCCAAATTCCAAAGTAACTCTCGTATGAAAAAATAAATAAATGACGACTACCAAAGGAATCTACAAAAGAAAAGTCGTAACAAAGATCCTCAACGATCTTTATTTTGATGAGTTTTACAAGAGAGAACAAAAAAAAGGGTTAAATTCCTGATTATGTTACAACCTGATGCTAATCCTCTCCGACATGGTCATCACATCCGAGTAAACCTTATCGCCACCAATATCCTGTCCTGAAGCTCCGGCAGCGATTCTCAGAACATCTTCAATGAGTCCAACATTACCCACTATGTCCACATGAGCTCCGCTTTCCATTCCTCGGCTTTCCAGCAGTAGACTTCCGGGCGGCTTGTGTTTGTATTCCCGCACGAATGTCTCCATCCCTGACGGGTTAAACCGAGTTTTCCCTCTCCATCCTTTTGCACACATAAACCCCGCACTTATCACCGGTACAGTCTCGTCTCCATCCACAAATCGAGCTCCTCCTTTAAGACAAACATCATCTCCATCCACCAATCCATCTATTCGAAACGGAATGCTGCTCTTGCATTTACTGGAATAGGTTGCGAGCTTGTATATGTAAGATCTCTCTGTCGGAATCCCTACTCCGTAAAGACAGTGAATCTCCATCTCTGGTGCATCCGGTAATCTGTTCGGAAAATAAAACAAAGCATTCAAACCTCTGTGGATTTCTTCTCGAGTACGTAACCTTACTAGCTGATGGAACTATGCTTTGGACTTACTTGTTCTCGAGTGGATTAGACCAGTACTTATAATGTTCATACTTAGAGTCGTCAAGATCATCAGCAATGCCATGAGAGAAATGGGTCTCGGCTCTTCTCATCATCCGAGGGGCCATAAATCGGAGAAGATCAAACACAGTGGTGGCCGTGTAAGCTGTATTGTCTGCTACTTTTGCTATGCTTTCTTGGCTCATTTCATTGTACTCCGACCAAGACTCTCCACATGATGTGCTACCATTTGCAGTGCTGTCTACTCTCAGAAGTTCCTGTTATACATACGCGGCAAAAAAGCAAACAGTAAGATTCCAATGACCCAGAAAAGGTAGCACCGTGGCAAGAAGATTTATATAACCTTGATGTTGAGAGTAGAGAGTTGTGCAGACGGTAGTTGAGACGCCCGTTTTCCAAAAGCTATGATTCTTCCGTATTTTGTGGGTTCTTTAACCCAGGACTCCGGTTTGACACTGATGTTTTGTGTGTGAAGATCCTTTATCCATGGCTGCGATGATTTTCTCTTGGAGAAAACACAATTCTGGCCTTCTTCAGCAGACGAGTCTAGATCTCCCCAAATTGCCTCACCGCCTTTTGGTAATAAAGATACTATTGAATCCCAGCTACGTGACATCTGCATACGGTGCTGGAGTGTCTGCAGCTTGAGAAGTTCCGAATCCAAAAGACCGGGCGCCAAAGCTCTTAACCACAAACATGACCAATAAAAATTCATTAAACCTCTTCAACTATTGAGTA